GCAGAACAGATGTGACATTTAACCTGCATAAAATGAAATAAATAATTTACACTTCAAGTCACATTGCTGTTTTTTTTTCTATTCTGATGGATTACACTGAAACAAAGACAGACAAACTATTACCTTATTTGCAGTTAAAAGATCAAAATGATCCCAGACAGCAGAAACATTTCTTTTTCTTTCGGGCTCCATTTTGTTATGGAGAGATGTGTATTATTATTATTTTTTTTTATCTTTGCGAGAGTAATTTTGTGTTTTTTTTTTTTTTTATCCAGAATCTGTTTATAGACATTAGTCTTGGGCTGAGGCACTTGGAGCATAAGTACAAACAGTTACCCCCTGCTCTGTACAAATACGCGTGTGTGTGTGTATATCTACACATATATTTGTGTGCTTAAATTTTATTTTTTTTAGATTATTTTTGTTTGTTTTTTTGTTTTTTGGTGGCGACTCATTCTGTTGGCAGATACGGATGCGGTACCTTTTAAACACAGTTTGGCACGTTGGCAATTAGCGATACAGCAGCTGTATCGATCACGTGACTTTTTCTTAAAGCGACGCACGCACCGATACAGGCATCGCTAGGTGAGCTTGATACATGCGTCGGTGCGTCAGTGTTGCTGGACCCATCACTACTGTTACCACTTCTCTTTTTACATATACGAATAATTTAGGTTATACACAAATGATTAAATGTGACCAGCTGTAACTCAAGTTCTTTTCCTTACACAGGTAGGGTGGCCGGTCCCCCTGTCTCTTCACCTTTCACAAGCAGTCACTTAAATACTAACTCAAAAAACCTAATAAAAAATGTGTTTTTCTTTATTATATAGTTTATAAATGCCAATCAGTCAAATTAATAAAAATACAAGTAAGGGTAATGGAACCCCTAGACGAAAGCTCGTTTTGCAGGATATTTCACAATATGAAAAGGTCATCATCCCGGAGTCTTCCTGCGCTGGCCTGCCTTGTCTGACTCTCTCTTTCTTACTCTTTTTCTCCCTGCTTTTGTATGTGTGTTTATGTTTTGGGGCGTGTTTTTTATTTAGCTCTTACAGCATCGGTTTCCCTCCAGGCTTCCCCACCCAGATGTTAAACCTTGCCAAAGATCTGCAATATTAACCAGTCTGGTCCTCATGGGGTCATCAGAGTGACTATTTTAGCCTGAACCACTCCCTTAGTCATTGTAAGATTGTTGCACTGGCTTGAGGTTTTGTATTGTGGATTCTGTCCTGGTTATGCTTTACATCAGTTTGTTGTCTTTAGTGCTGGCTAGATGCTGAAGTACCATGACCAAAGCTTGACATCTGAACCACAAAAACCTTTTCAGATCGTTCTAGCCTTACTGATTACAGAATTTCCTGGAGGTTTAAATGTTAAAGTGCTAAAGTCACACATTATAGATTTAAATAAAAGTGAAAAAAAAATGGTTTGAAGGTTACAAAACTCAGTTCACAACTAGACTTTCTGATTTACAAGTACAAAATATTTATGACCACAATTTGAGCCCATAGCTTTTCTACTAGTTGGGGCGACTATGCAGAAATATGCTGACAGTCTGAGGAAGTTTTCCGAGATTTGCTCACAAAGTCAAAGACATTTTTCAAATTGAAAAAGAAAAAAAAAGAACTTGTGAATTCCATCAGAGCTCTGAGTGTAAGGATTGTTTCATATGGCAATTTATTGTGAAAGCTTATTTTTTTTAAATGCCCTGTATTTGTATAGTGGAAGTGTCTTGCCCAAGGACACAACGACTTACCTAGTAATTGCTTAGGCTGCTACGATACTTAAAGTTATTTACAGAAGAATTTGCATCTGTTTCCCACGAAAACACTTCAAAATTAAGTGAGATTAAGTGAATCCATAATATGGCTCACACCCCAGAAAGTACAGGGTACTTACAGTGCACTTGTTTCATTGTTTCCTGCAGAAACCTGACTTGTTGCCTGCAAATTGCCTGTAAGTACAGGGTACTTGTGCTTTATTTGA